AAGAACGATAATCAATGGACGAGAGCCATAAAGTCGAACGAATCGAAACTCTAAATGTAAATTAATATCAGGACAAAGAGATGTGTATGGGTGATTTAAATTTATTATTACTAAAAAGTAAAACATAATTTTAAATCGTAAACCAGATCCATCTTGACATAAGATAACATATCTTAAAGTTGTAAATAATAATAATAAATTAAAATAATTTCGTATCGCTAGATTGCAAATAAAATTACTAATATTAACAAATACCACCTACTAAAGTTATAATATATAGAAAGATGTTGAGATTGTTTATTCTGTTTAAATTATAATATATAGAAAACTTAAGTTTTGATTGGTTTCTTTTTATTGCAAGTTTTTAACTATTACTTAAGTTTTATGAAATAGTTTTTTGCGCTCATTATCTCTCAATAACTCAAAATCAATTTATTGTAAAGTATCATAAAATATAATAAACATTAATTATTTAATTAATTTATTACTTTCTATTTAAATCTTTATTAATATCTTAATAAATAGCTTATTTATTTTATATCACAAAAGCAGGTGAAATTTAAGCTACGTGCACATGACTTCATGCTAATGGAAAAAAAATATCACTAAAAACTTAATAGATTATTATTATTTAACGAGTTGTTATTAAATAAGTAGTTAAGAGCAGTTTATTATGTATTTTGCAATAGGTGCATAAATAGATACCATATATGTAAACTTCAATGTTAAATATTAGATAATGTTCAGAGTATTTCTTGCAAATATATGCGGTGCAAATTATTACGAAGTATAATTAATTTCTTTATTTGAGTTTTGATATTTAAAACGTGAGAAGCTTATTAATTTTATGAGCTTATTTATAGTACAGATGTAAATTTAATAATTGAAAATAGGCGCAAGTGTTATTTTGTCTTGAGGTAAATATTCGAGCTTATCAATAAGGGTGCGTCCATTAATCACGTGAGCCATTTTTAGGGGTTTTTAGACCTCCCCAATTTCGGTTGGTGATACGTGCTGATATTTAAAATTGACCACCCCTTCTCCCACACATAATCACTTGTATTTTTATCAACTAGAAATAATCGTAACATTTTTTTTTTCTTTTGAAAAATTCTCGTTTTTTTAAATTGATGTAAAATATAAATACACGTGATATCAACTAGAACTAGACCCTCCCCTTCCACACGTGATATTTCGTGATTTTTTTGTCGGCCCCCACCTTCCCCATTCAAAGCTCACGTGATTAATGGACGCTCCCTTAGAAGTGAGATTAAGCTATTTAAACAAATTTTTCAACTCTTTATTTCGAAAATAAAGTTTTTATAAACGATATCTTTCGAACGGTTTGGTTTTCAAATTTTCAAAGTTGGTTAAGGATACTTTTTGCGAAAACGTGGATGAAAATTTTGCTCTAACCTGTTAATTCTAGAGAAACTGATCAGCCCTTTGAATCTTTGAATCTTTGAAGCTCTTTGAATTTCATAAAATAGATTTTAAAATCCGTTCAGCCGTTTCACCAAAAATTATATACACCCATAATTTTTCTAATTCAGATGTCAAACGATTCAGAATAACTTGAAATGTCGAGGAAACATGAAATTAGTTGGATTTTTCTCTTTCTTCGGGAAAATATAAAAGGTAGTCGATTTTGCTCAGAGCATTAACAACTAATACTTTAGAACTATTTCAGCCTGTTCGATCTGCTTCCATAGCGTGATGGCAAGTAATATTCACTTAATTCCCGCGGCTCGTGAATCTTTTGAATAATAAAATATAAGTGTTATCTGTAAGCATATAGCATTATTATAAAATACAAACACGTTTTTAACATCCTCTTCGGCACCTAGGCCCATCGTGAGCCCGGCATTACATAAGTATATTCAGCTTGCGTCAGTCATCGCGCACATCGCTTCACACATAATAGTCACTAGTACGAATGGTACGAATGCACCATCAGTTTTATTTCCGATGCGCCCGTGCAACGATTTCCGGAAACCATTAATGACAACGACCGGAGACTTTTCCGCTTTTTTCCTTGATCGTTATAAGTAAGTATCACCGGAGTGATTTATAGTTACGAATTTTTAACTTCCCGAAGAGAAATTTTATGATTTCGCTAGAAAACTCTGCTGGGTAATTTTTTGTCTTTTCTGACGCATGGAGTCATTCTGAATCGTTTGAGGCCAAAATTGAGAACAATATATGTGTGCGTGCAAGCCAACATTTGACTTTTCGTCCACTGGGTAAGTTGGGACTATAGCCAAAAAGTATGCATTTTAGAATTAATTTTCAAAGAAATTATAAATTAATTTCACAAAATTTATGTAAATGCAAGAATTATGCCAAGAATAGCCATAAAATGCATTTCAATATTCCTGATAGTTGACGAATATATGGCAAAAAACGAAAATATAACATGACCCTTATAGTGGGTCATGATTTTTTTCACACTTTTCTTCGGAAAATTTTAAGTGCTGAAAATTATAAAATGGGTTCTTAATAAGTTTAGAACGCTTCTCTAAAAATATTACGATTGTAGTTCAAATAGTTTTCGAGATATACGCATTTAAAAATTGCGATTAATAAAAACGGTTTTAGGCAAATATTTTAAAAATTCTTTCACTGGCTGATAGATATTTCAAAAATCTTTATTTTGCAAAAACTTTTAAAGTTACAAGCAATTGAAACTTTTAAACTAAATTTTATCAAAGTTCATAGGGTTTAAATAATTGGCCCAGTTTTTTACACCCAATTTAGAATATATAATCAAAATCATTTTTAAAGGAACTAACATCAAAAAAGTTTCACCTCTTTGCATAATAATCTTAATTAGTTAACAAGCAAAACAATTATAATTTAAAGGGTTCATACAAACGAATGCCATAATATAATTTACTTTTTTTATAATTAAAAAATATTTAATTACAAATAATTACATCAAAATATCTCAATAGTTTTAAAACAACTTTCCGAATATTCTCCTCTAAGAAAAACTCGTATAAAAAGTGACATGCCTAATCGTCTCACCAGAAATTTATTCATAGCTCTCGGTACGTTATTAGTGATCTATAATTTTTTCTACAAACATGAAACACTTGAACCACGCCAGTTCGAAGGAATTGTAAAAAGTATACATCATTCAGTAACATTCATCAGAGATAATGAAGAACATATCTATTTGTGTTCACTGTTTGTAGAGAGAAATCTATAAATACTGGAAGCGATTACTGTCGTTATAGTTCTAACGAATGAGAAAATTATAATGATCAAGTATGATTTGTTATGATTGCTGAGAAGGCTCAGGTCAAAAGATTCGAATGTAATGGGTGTTTTAGATGCATGTTTACTCGGTGAAACTCGCACACAGTTAATGGGAATGCGTATTTCATTATTACATTATTATAAGATGGTTTTATGGTTGAACACCATATTGACCATTTATCACCATACAATACTTTAGTTTAGTACGCATACGGTATTACTTATAACCGTTTCTTCTGTTCGAGTACCAAATCCAACAGTTTTTTATTACTACCCTTAATTAAACCGGTATCCTTTGATTTTATTAAACTCATTTCCTCTTGTAAATAAACATTTTGGTTAGAAACAAGTACAGAATACAGAATTTATCCAGCCATATAGTAAACATCAAAGAGATTCGGCATCTTTGAATTTCCGCAGCCTCAAATTGTAAACAAATTCTCATGCCGGTCAAAAGCGCCGCGCTGAATGCAGCATGGACATCATTGTTGTAATTCGTAGGAAATTGTAATTTTTTAAAAACTGTGAAAAACTGAATTTAAAACATACAAATCTTAATGTAGGGATAGCAATTTGAACATACAATAGTTCCATTCCCCTAAACATCAGGCTTAAGGTAAATTTAAATAATTATTAAAGTGAAACTTAATAAAGATAAATATTCGGACATACAAATAGTAATAAATAAATATTTAGGTCTATTTTTTTTAAAATTGTTGCTTGCATCTTACTTGTATATAGCAATTTAATTAGGCATTTTTAAAAAGATAGTATGTACTCTAATAATTAATGTTCTATTGTTTATGAATAAAAATCGACTACAGATAACAAAGTAAATAACATTTTAGATGTACCTTATTCCTAGTTCGTCTAAGGTCACCGACTCCATGAAAGGAAATCGGGAAGAAAATAAGATAAATTCTTGAAACGCAAGCGACAGCCGCACAATAGCCGGAAATCTTGCCGGTAGACATTACCATGCGAGGCGGCGGCGCTGCAACGGCAACTCTAACTCTTTACCACTTTACCACCTTACCACTTACCAGTATAGAGATAGAGGTAGAGGTAGAGCGCCAACTACGTACCGGAGCTTTTTTTCACTGGTAGCTTTATGAATATTGATGAATTCATTCATCTCCACTAGTAATTGATGAATAAATACATGCAATTCATTCAGTCATGTTTGTTTGTTAATGTTATGTTGACAAATGTTTAAAAGTAAGCATACAAGATTAATTGCTTGTTAGTGCACGATGTGGTAATTATTTGATAAAGGTTAATAAATTGGGATATAATAAACACAAATCAAAATACCATGGATGTATATTACCATATACTCTTCTTTTATCTATGTATATTACATCCTCTGGGCTATTGCACATATCAGAAAATTCAAGCAACTTGCTTTAAGGCAAAATTCCTTTTTTACCTAGTTCAAATTTTATTTACTTTATACGCTTTACATCTATGCAATCCTCCTTACTTGAAAAAAATCAATTTCACATATTTTTGTCGCATTTTTAGGGCAGCAAAACGCGGTCAAACAACCGTTGACCAAACTTCGAAATCGAATACTTCCATATTAATTTAATTCATCTCACACGGAACATTATTAGCAGAAAATACACATGTGTGATAATATTTATCTTTTGAGTACATACTTGAAGATAATTTTAGAATTGCTATAGAAAATTCCCTAAGAACTGAAATAAAATAGATTTAAACGTGTTCGAATGTTAGATTAATAATTAACTAAAATGGTGCTATTTAAATTAAGTTTAGTTTTTTTAGTTGCTTTTATAGGAATTGAGAGCGTTTATGGTAAGTAAATTCATACTTATAAAAAACTATCTAATAACTATCTTAAAACACGAGTTCTGAAAATGTTAGTCAAATATTAAAATACTGAAGCAAAATTGTAGAAATGTGAAATATATAGTGTAAACCTGTAATTATTTTCTCTTAAACAATAACAAAAAGTATGGGTAATAGCTAATGTTGATTTTTCAATTTTTTCAAAAAAAATTGTCTAATTGTTTCTAATTTCTACAATTTTCAATATTACTCATGAACTTGTATATTTAGTTCTAGGTTAACAAACAACTATTTAATTATTTAGTAATAATCATCATCTATTAATAATGAATGATAATTAAAGTGCACAGAATTAAGTCTAATTATTATTACCTTTAAGGTAAACAAGGTATAGGTCCAGGTGAGCAAGATTGGGGCTATGTGACTGTACGAGAAGGTGCCCACATGTTCTGGTGGTTGTACCACACAACCGCCCCTGTATCCGACTCTGCAGAGAGACCCTTAGTTGTCTGGTTACAAGGCGGACCTGGTGCCAGTTCAACTGGCTATGGAAATTTCGAAGAATTGGGCCCGTTGGATATAAACCTCAATGAACGTAATTACACTTGGGTAAAAATAATTGAAAATCAAAAACTATTATATCGTAAGCCTGAATTTTTTTAGAGATGGATTTTTCTAATTTTTCTTAGGTTAAAGAAATGAACGTGTTGTTCATTGATAATCCTGTAGGATCAGGCTTCAGTTACACAGATAAATATGAGCATTTTACAAAAAATAACCATGATATTGCAATGGATTTAGTACAACTGATGCACGTTTTTTTTAAATTGCAACCAAAATTTAAAACCGTACCATTCTATGTTGTAGCAGAATCATATGGTGGAAAAATGGCAGCAGAATTCGTCTACGAATTATATAACGTAATTGAAATAATAATATAATAACGTACATTGTTATATATCACATAAAAGTGAATTAATTATAATTTTAGGAAATACAAGCTGGAAAAATCGAATGCAATTTGAAAGGAGTTGTTTTGGGTGATTCTTGGATATCACCAATGGATTCTGTATGGGCCTGGGCGCCCTATTTATACAACAATGTAAATAATTTTAAAATCATACGCAATTGAATCACTTTAATAATAAAAATATTTCTTTATTACCATTCTACTTGTAAGCATATTATTATTTATCACTTATTATTTTAGGGCATAGTTGATAAAAAAGGCTACAATGCTATAATGGAAGCAGCAAACGAGACCCAAGAAGCATTTGATGATAGAGAGTTTGTGTTAAATTCAATCAAAATATAGCCAAAAATATAATAAATAAAATTTATATTTTTTATATTCTAGCTTTGAAGAAGCCACTAATAAATGGGCTTATACAGAATACGTTATTATGAATTATACAAGTAATGTTGATTTTTATAACATACTTGAGAAGGTGTCCGAAAGAAATAAGAGAGCCTTGATGGAGGCCTTTGAATCAAGTACTAGAGGTAATAGTTGAAAATTGGAATTATAAAATATTTAAGAATTATATAATAAGACTCTCGTCGACAAAATAAATATACATATTTATTAAAAAATGGGCAGGAATATCTTCGTGCAAAATAAATTGCTAATATTAATCCTGGTTCAAAGAAATTTGTGATGATTATAGAAAAATCATAAAATCTTCAATTTAAATGTATTTAATTATTATAGATGGTCTTTTCGAGTTAATGGCGAACTACGGACGACGAGCTGCTGATCCTTTAAATACCTTAATGAATGGATTAGTTGCAGAAGTCCTCGACATACCCAAAGATGTGAGGTGGGGACAACAGAGTAGTCAAACCTTTCAAGTTTTGAAAGGAGACTTTATGAAACCTTGCATTGAAATGGGTTAGTATAATTGAATTAGGAAATTTTAGAAACTAGTATACAATGAATACATACATACATAATATAAAGAATTCTGAAAAAAGATACTAAAAAGTTAATAATGCATGAGAGCAAAAAATTTGCTATTTATTATTATTATTTTAATATTTGTTTATTATTTTGTTACAGTTGAAAATTTGCTTAACAAAACCGACTTAGAAGTTGTGGTATTCACAGGCCAATTGGATTTAATTGTTAATACACCAGGTATAAGAAATGAAATCTGTGATTAAACTTCTTAAGATGAGATAAAAGATAAATATAGCATATTTATATTTTTTGCCCGTGTTCAGGTTAATTCTAATATGAAACAGAACTATTAATTTTTACGTATAATGAATTGTAATTTTTAGGAACTATAAAATGGGTATCCAAATTGCGCTGGCCCGAAAAAGAACAGTGGTCAGAATCAATTAGATATCCTTTGACGGTAAAATCGATTGTAGAAGGTTATTATCAAAAATACGGACGATTTAGCCTTTATTGGATTAACAGATCAGGACATATGGTAAGTTGACCAAGAAATAAAACACCAGAATTATGATATTAAATATCTTATTTAATTTTGCAGGTGCCAAATGATAATCCTGCAGCTATGGGAAAGATCTTGAGAGATCTTACTTCGTATGGATAGAAAATGAATGTTCAGCAATGACGATATTATAAAATGTTAATAAAATTTGTTGTTATGAATTATAGTAGTTTTTATTATTAATTGTAATTGTATATTTCCAGTATTTTACTGATACGCCTCTGTATAAAATATTTTGATAAGCTCCTAAAATCTTACATCTCTAAAGTTGTTTAAAATCATATCGTATATATCTCCTGATTAATATTTGCCGTTATCAATATGCTCTGTTGTATATAAGCTTTTGTTTCAGAAAAATAAATCAGTTGAATTATTCTAGTTCGATTAAAAATGATAAAATTAATCATTTTGGCACTATGTCTCTCGACAACCGCATTTTGTCAAATTAATTCACGTTAGTATGAAAGTAGAAAAATAATAAGAATTCCAAAAATGAAAATGCTTTTAATAAACTCGTACAACCAGTGAAATAAATTATTTCAAAGTGAAAATAAATATTACTAAAATTTGGGATTTCGATAATAAATGGTCAAAACTGAGACCTATTACAATTCAGTATGAAGCAAAATGATGAATTATCTATTTTTATTTTGAATAATTACATAGTTAATGATAATTAATTTTTCATAAATCGAATAGTAAAGAAAACCAATTTAAATACTTAATAAGCCTCTAAAAATTTCAGGAATAATTTCTATTAAATCTAATTTCTTGAATTTGTAACTTTTATCAGGTAAACAAGGTGTAGGCCCAGGAGACCAGGATTGGGGCTATGTTACTGTCCGAGAAGGAGCCCATATGTTCTGGTGGTTGTACCACACAACAGCCCCTGTTTCCGACCCCACAGAAAGACCCCTTGTGGTCTGGCTTCAAGGAGGACCAGGAGCCAGTTCAACTGGTTATGGAAACTTTGAGGAACTGGGACCAGTTGATGTGAATCTCAACGAACGCAATTTTACATGGGTATAAATTTTTTCAAATTTTCTATGTAAATATAATTAATGTATGGGTATTGCAAGAATATAAATTTGATCTCATTTGTGTAATCAGAATGTTACGAATTTTGTAATAAATGTCTTATGGTGATTAAATTTTATAAAACGGTAGCAATATTAAAGATTTTGTTGCATCACCTCTCAAGTTGTCAAATATCATGTGAAAAAGGAACAAATCCAAGGTTTACCTTATCATGATATTGATAAAAACCATCGGTTTTCCCATTAGGTTAAATATTATCTGGATTAAAAAACTTTTTTCTACGAGATAAGCATAATCATAATTTAAAAACAGATAAATCTAAGTGAAGAGTGACACAAACAAAAACATAATATCAAAATGACCATCCCACTTGCTAAATGTATATTTGAAATAGTAACTTATAAACATCAATAAGTATAATGCTTATGCTATCAGAAAAGTAATAAGGAGAAACATATCAATAACAAATACAATTATAAAAAATACAATACATTTGCCAAACAACAAGTAACCATCGAAATGAAAAATTTCATCTAGATCACAAGCTATTAACTTCTTGATAAAGTTTGGTTAGCCACATAATCGGATTTGCTAATTCTATGATTTACCGTCGTTTCAAGTCAATATGAATCGCTTGACACTAAAAATGGAAACGCATGTGTGTGTCTGAGAGCCAAAAATTGATCTTTCACGACGTTTTATAAAAAACAGCTGCACCGATTTTAAAAGTTCAGTGACTGTTTGAGAGATAAGAAATGTTCTAATTTTTGGTTTTCTATATTCCAATGTAATCACCAAAATGACAATATTTCGTCTGTACCACATGTAATTAATATTATTTATTATTCGGCAGGTGAAAGAAGTGAATGTCCTCTTCATAGACAATCCAGTTGGAACTGGCTTCAGTTATGTAGAAAAAACATCACAATTGACCAAAAATAATCGGGAAATAGCATTAGACTTGATTCAACTTATGCATGGATTTTATAAAGCCCAGCCTCAATACCAAAAAGTTCCCTTCTACGTCGTAGCAGAATCATATGGAGGAAAAATGGCAGCAGAATTTGTATATGAATTATATAAGGTAACAAAATTAATAATTAGACATAAAATCCATAAAACTACCAATCTTTTGATATAACCATTTTTTAATGCCTAATCATGTTCTTAATTTAATTATTAGGAAATTCAAGCCGGAAAAATTGAATGCAATTTGAAAGGTGTAGCTATGGGCGACTCCTGGATATCACCCATGGATTCCGTATGGACTTGGGCACCTTACCTAATGAATAACGTAAGTCGAGTGATGTATCCTCATTATATATTCATTTGAGAAATGTATCCTTATTCTATATTTACAAATATGCAGAACAAAATAATAATAATAATCTTAATCATATGATTTCAGGGAATTTTAGATAAGGAAGGCTATAACGCTGTGATGGCAGCAGCAAAGCAAACACAAATTGCATTCGACAATGGAGAGTAAGCAGTTTGGATATTTTCACCTTCATTCATAAATATTAGGTAACTTTATTAAATATATGTTTCGTAATTTAAGTTTCGAAGGAGCAACAGATGCTTGGGGACGCACTGAAAACGTAATCATGGACTATTCCTACGGCGTCGATTTTTATAACATATTATTAGAAGTTTATGGGTTCAGGAACGAAAAATTGCACAAAGCCTTCAAAGAAAATCCTAAAGGTATCAAATATTGCGTCGCTGCAAATAAAATAATTTTTTATGCTTATTTATTGTGATTAATTGTTATCTATGAAGCTGGTCTCTATGAATTAATGGTAAACAGAGGACATACTAGAGCCGATCCATTGGACTTCCTTATGAATGGTCTTGTTAAAAAGACTTTACAAATTCCGCAACATGTTGTTTGGGGTGGTCAAAGCGGTTATACATTTAACACCCTTAGTGGAGACTTTATGAAACCCTGCACAGAGATGGGTAACACATCAAAAACAAAATTCAATTAAAAATATTTTCTATTCATTGTATTATATTTTAGTGGAGTTGCTGTTAAACAAGACGAATGTTCAAGTTGTTGTTTTCACTGGTCAACTGGATTTAATTGTGGACACGCCAGGTACAAAAATATTATTCAAACTATGTTGATTAAAATGCAATATCATTACTAAAATGTAGTATATCTCAGGAACAATTGAATGGGTCTCGCATTTGCGTTGGCCAGAACAGAGCAAGTGGCAGAACTCTGATCGTGAACCATTGGTGGTTAAAAGTATTGTTGAAGGTTACCAAAAGAAGTATGGTCGTTTTGATTTATACTGGATAAATAGATCAGGCCATATGGTAAACATTTTATATACAAATAATACTTTGTTTTAGATAAATAATTGATTTTATTTTATATTACAGGTGCCTAGTGACAATCCCAAAGCTATGGGCCAAATTTTGAGAGACCTTACTTCTTTTGGTTAATGCACAATTATTTACAAGTATTTTATTATTTAAATAATAAAATATATTTCATAAAAGTATATATAAAGTCTCTTTTTAGTCTTACAAAATATTAATCACAAGAACAAATAATTTTATAAAAAACTCAGCCAATAATTCGATCAGCATAATGAAGAACTTCAAAAAGTACTTCTACCAAGATCAATACAATTACCATCCACTCCAATCTAATATGATGTCTATCATTTAGATGTGAAGAAATTAAATCAGCTAGTTCTACACAATGATTTAATTTTTCATTCTGAACCTAAAAACACAATACAAAACTCAATGCCTGCCGAAATCATCCTCCAACAAAAATTCTAATTCTGTTAATTTTGAAACCACTGTAATAAACTTATAAGCGCTTTAAATTTGCTAAAGAATTTGATGAGGTTTGAAATAACCACTGTAATTTAGTTTTACCATTCAAAGAATTCTGTTGCAAGCAAAAAACTCCAAAGAAATATATTTTTGAAGTATTAAATTAGATTATTTCCATGTTTATAGAAACATTTCACCAGATAAGTTATGAAAAAACAACAAGGCATAGAACCCAAATTCAGAAACTATGAAAATTCAAATAAGTATACTTCTTCAAGAAAACTGTTACTTTTTAGCCTTCAGCATTTATAGAGAAATTTGTTTATCAGCTTATCAGCTGTATCTGTTTCATTTTAACTGGAGCCCCAGTCTTAAGAATTGTTTATAGTTTGCATCATCAAAATAATTCTGAAAATATCTTTACAAAGTCATAAAAATCATTTTCACTTACCTTTGTTCGTTTTGATATGCTGAAATAGTTAGAAGTTTGTGTGTATAATCTTTCCATTTGATCTCGATCCCAATAAAAATCTGGTACATCCAACAAATCTGATCGCAAATTCATTGTATGTCTTAAAGCAAATAATTCTCCAGTTTTACGTAACATTTCATCCCGTGTTAATCTAAATAATAAATAATAATATTGAATAATTATACATAGTGAAATAATATACATATGCTATAAACAAGTATATGTATAATACCTTATTTTTTTCCCTCGTTTCAAATCCCATGTTAAATGATCTATTGATCCTATGTATTGGTCAAGTGATGCTTCCCAAATACCCAATTTTACAGATAGCGCCATTGCATTTGAATATGTATATTTTTCAAGAAGTGATTCTTCAGGATTGCTATTAGATAAGACGAACATATTATCTTTTATTTGAGCTCTACCCTAAAAAAGAGATTATTGCAGTAGAAGTAATAAAGACGAAGCAAAAGTTTCCAATTATAAGCAATTTACCCCTTTGTCAGATGTGTAATAAGTCATTTGTTCAGATTCTTCTTCAACCATAGCATCACTATAACTGTCTTCTTCAAATTCTTTTATAAAGGACATCAAATTACTGCTTTCGAGGTCAGTTACATTCCATAATACCATACAACCTTCTCGAAAAAAGAATATATTGCGGGGTTCATTACCAACTTGAAATTTAGCAGTTGCATGAATTACATCAGGAGAACAAGCATAGTTCGCAGAAGATAAAAATCTGTATAAAATGTTAGCATATACAAAAAGGTTATAAATGCTTTTATAAAATGCCATTACCTTTGAGCTTCATATAAGTTTTGCTTCTTCAATCCATCAATTAATTTTTCTAGATCATATTGCTCTGCTGTAGCAAATGCTGTAACCATATGAGTACCTTCAGTACTCATCACAACACATCTTCGTCTAAGTGGTCTCTTTTTCACTGAATGTGTAGTTACTACAGCCGCTTCTTGCCCTTTAGTTGGATTATTTACGGCAGGTACGATGACAGTAGATTCATTTGGTTTTGATAATTCATAATTTATTGAATTTGTAAAAAGTGATCGTGTTTTAATAGTCTTGTTTATGGGTATTTTTTTCACGTTTAGTACGTTATAGAAGTTGCACAATGTTGATAACTTGATTCTCATCATCGCGTCACATTTGAAGGTTAGGATTTACATGCTAACTTTTTGACAACAACTGAAGCAATTTGACGCGACCATAGACAAGAATTTGGTAAACACCTTTGTAGATGAGCTATGCTTACCAAGTCTTAACGAGTGCAAATCAAATATAAAATTTATACATTATTAGTTTAATGTAAATCCAATTCTTTATTTTGTTAGTGTAATAGTGTAATATTTTATTAAACGCGAAGAACTGAAAATAACAGTGAAATATAACATTATTTTTGGAACGAACATAGTAGGTAATCTATTTAAACAGCACCTGCATATCTATGGATCCTGGCATCAAATGATCAACAACCTGATACCTTCAAGAATGTCGAACTTTCGCGCGCTGTGTTTATGTTGAATCATATAAGTTTAAAAAACATGTTAACAATTAGTACAGTTCCTATAGGAGTATATATTAAATAAAGAATGTATACTCAAAATATCATACAAGATTTTTATAAGTCACTCATAGGAAAGGTAGCGATTGCGTCTAAACTGATCCATGCTGAAGGTTACTTGTGTTTATATCCGACTAAAATTTATTTTCTATTTTAGAGAATTTTATTGATTGTGAATTACGATGTAGATGCCATTTGTGCTTGTAAAATTTTGCAAACTTTGTTCAAATATGATAATACATTGTACACGTTATGCCCTGTATTGGTATGTCAAATAATGTGCTATGTTGTTTTGTTTTTGAGCCTTATAATTAATAACTTTGATGCAGGGAATAGAGGATCTTAAAAGAGCATATGCTGAAAACTGTGATGAAATTAAATATATAATTCTTCTAAATTGTGGAGGATCTGTTGATATTGTTGATCTTTTGCAACTGCCAGATGATGTCATTGTGTATATTTTGGATTCTCACAGACCGATAGACATTTGTAATATTTACAGTAGTGGACAGATTAGAATATTGGGGAAACCTGAAAGTAATATTCCTGCATTCGAGGAAATATTTCGTGATGATGAGGTTTTTATTTATATATGTTAAGATCAAACATATTTACATTTTTTTTAATAATAATTTATTTTAGTCAGATGAAGATGATCAGAATGATGATGATTCTGAGTCTGAGGAAGGCATGTCCAGAACTGAGCTAGCTGAACAAAGAATTTTAAAAAGACGTGAAAAAAGATTATGGGAGGAGAAACGAAATAAAATCATGTTTGATTATACCCAGTTCAGTTATTATGGACCTTCTGTAAGTAGACCAAAAAAAGCATCTTTAATAGTAATAAATACATAAATTTTCAGCTATAAAATATATGATTTATAGTTTATTTATAATTGAAATATTTTTTTAGAGTGCTATCATATTATTTGAATTAGCTTGGAAGCTTTCTAAAGACTCAATGGAATTATTATGGTGGGCAATTATTGGTGCAACTGAACAATTAATAATGGATAAAGTAGAAACGTCACAATATACTCTTGATACTGAAGTATTACATTCACATGTTTCTAGATTAATTCATAGAGCCAATGATCAGCAGGTATTTAAGTTAGTTAATAGATATATCGTTTGTCATCAAATATTATATATTTTATATATAAATATTAAATTCTTACAGATGCAAAGTTCATTGAAAATTTCATTTGAACGTGATCTCAGACTTGCTCTTTATAGACATTGGAGTGTGGAAGCGTCTTTAAGACATTCAATTTATACAGCTTGTAAATTAAAGTTATGGACATTAAGAGGCGAAAAAAAAATGCAAGAACTTCTTGCTGAAATGGGGTAAAGTTTTAATATAATTTACAAAAAAATTTATTGAAATATTTATTAGCAGTTGTGTATTTTAGGTTGCCATTAGTGCAAGCAAGGCAAACATTTTCATCAATGGATTTAACTTTAAGAAAGGAGTTTCACTCCATGATAGAAAAACTTGCTGAAAAATATGATCTCAAAGATTTAGTTTATGCATCATTCACTATGCAATATGGATATAGAAATAAGTACTGTGCTAGTGATATAGTATATACAATGTTGTCAATTTTGGAATCAACTGTAAATATTGCTCCAAATATGTATTTTATTGTAGCTCTATGATTTATTAATCATATGTTTTCAGTCCAAAGAACGCAGTAGAGAAACATGTTTTCTTGATGCTATGGATTGCCTTTCAAGAAGTCAACGTGGTTTATTAGAAAATGGTATTGAGCAAGCCAAAAAAATGCTTACAGTTATATTTAGGCAGACACAAACTACTCTTGAAACACATCAAGTTATGTCTGCTGGTCCTTTTCTTTACTTAATCCTGGATGAGGTAAGGAGTTTGCAACATGTTCCCATTATTTCAAAATATAATCACCTTTATACTTTTAATATAAAATATTACAGGAAAGTCCTTATTTTTCGAATCCTTATGGTCTTATAATGTTAGCACAATTTGCATTGCGAGGGCATGTAGCTGTTTCAAGAAGTAGGAGGGCAAATGCACTTCCATTAATAGCTTGTGCTCCTTTGCAATTACATGATACTGCAATGGGACAGAGGACTGATAATGAACTAAAGGTAGCAAAATTTAAAACATATTTTAATTTAGAAAAAGCATTTTTAGTTATCACACAATAATTTTAGGCAATGTCTTCTCAAGAAATGGAACTTTACGGAATGTGTTTAATGGTGGGATTGCCACCTGTATGTGAAGATTCCCCTAAAAAGTTAGTATAATTATGTCATATCACTCAAACAGTCTTTAAATATGTATTTTCGAAATTTCAGTTTCTTTGGAAAGGCATTTGAACAAGCAGCTCACAAATCACAAATATTAGCATTCTCAGACTTTTTTGATACTTCAATAGTTAAAATTAAATACTCTGACCGAACTAAATTTCTAGATGCTTTAACAGCTCTTCTCAGTTAATATTAATAGTTTAAATATTACTAATAAAATTGTACATTGTTTTATCAATTATGTAAGTTATGGACATTTTATTATTGCAGTGCAAAAACCATTGAAATCGTTAAGAATCACTAAGTGCTTTAATTATGTAGCTAATCGTAGGTATTTATTTATAAAATTATGTTAATTAATGTAAAAATGTGTGAAATATATTTTATATAAAAAAGATCTTCACATTGTTTATTTATATATTTAATTTGAAAGCAAATTCAGTTAGTCATTTAAAATAATCAACCCTTCAATAATAAATTAATTCGATAAAAAAAACTTTTTTCCATCTTTTGAAACTGAGAATCTGTGTACATCAAAATTTTCATTTATTTGTTTAATTTTAGATTCAGTTATATTAAGCAAAAAAACTTGTCAATCACCGTAAAAAATTCTAAGCAGTCATGCCCCAAAAACAAATGATATAACCAAAATAATTTGGCTACTCTTTTAACATTACACATTAAAAAAAATTTCAATGTTTAAGTATCTGTGTATTATATCGAAATATAATAAAGTACTTGAACATAGTTTACAGTTTTACTTTAGTATTTTAATTAATAAAAAATTCTAAAAACAACTTGCATGACATAAAAATGAGTAATTTAACGCCCATGGCAGCTCTGAACGAGCTAATGATGCAAAAGAAAGCACCTATGCCCCTTTACGAACTTATTGAAGATGGAATACCTTTGCCAGGATATAAGTATTTCGTAAAAGCTGCCAATATAATAGCAGTAGGAACTGGGCGAAATAAAAAGGAAGCCAAGCATAATGGAGCAGCTATCGTCCTCAAGCTGCTTGCTTTGAAAGGTGTCGAACACAGGTAAAGTACAATTGAAACAAATTTTATTTGACATCTTGGATAATGTCATTTTGATTTCTGTGCAGACAACGCGGCGGGGATTTAGAAGGTCGTAACATTCGTAAGCTAGAAAGCAGCGTTGGGGCCCTGACGGCTTATCTTCGGCTGCACGACATTCCGCAAGCCACGTACGACATAAGCGTTAGTGGGCCTGCTCACGACCCCATTTTTACCGTAAGGTGTAGCGCTTTTAAGTATCATAGCGTAGCCTTCAGCGCACAGAAAAAACGAGCAAAGCAGCAGGCCTCTGCAGATCTATTAGAGGTAACAATAATTTGATCACAATTTGAATTTGGGTTTCATAGCGGGGCTATTGGTCAGGACTTTGTCATTTTAACGAGAAAGATTTGAACAGTAGTGACTTTAGTTTTCAATTGAAAATTCAGGTAGCAATATGTTCAGGTAGCAAGAGAAAATATACTTTAAGCAGCATTCAAAAAAGTAATCTGTGTCAGTGAAATTCTAATGATAAAATGCATCAAATAGAGATACGCCAAAATTTGGGTTGCTTTCTGCAAAAGCCGCTAAAGCCTTAAGTTCTGATCAGTTGTTTAAATAAAAATATATAAAAAAGAATGATATATAGCATTTCAATTACCTATAAATTTATTTTTTCAGGTGTTGTCCTCGGTGCTTCCAGACACAACAACACCAACAATAGGGCAGCTTAAAGGTTCGACCAGAAATGCCGTACGACGTCGGAACAAATACAATACTTATTATAATACTCATCATTTTTAAAATATATTGACTTTCAACTTATAAACGAAACTTCGAAATGAAACATATTTAATACTCAATGACTAAAACCAGTCAATGAGTGAAACCCTCGCACATGTAAATACCATTTTTATCATAGTAATGCTTTGTATGAAAGTGTTTTAATAACTTATTATTGGATGATTATTATTTTTAAATTTTTTGATTGTTAATTTTTGTTTGAAAATTGGCAATAAATCTATGCCATGTTGTGAACCAAAGCAATCTTGTTTCAATGATGTGAATGAGACGCGGTTAGGTTCTACAAAGTAGTAAATTTATTTATAACATTAATCTAGGTTTTAAGAATACGCACTAAAGTTAAATTATTTAAAAAATTGTAGAGGTTCGTAGTACATAATTGCTCTGCAAATGGCACTGCTTGGATTACCCAAATCTATAAGTGAAAAATTTAATTCGTTTAGAATAGAGATTAAGTTCATATAAAACGTATATACTTAAGTCAACATAATTATTCATTACGAAATTATAATTACTTATGAGAATGATATAAGATTTGTTTAATTTTTTTTGTTGTTTACCCACGGCGAAATATTAAAATTCCCACGTTCGTAGTACTTAAGTAAAATAAAATTCTAAAAACAAAATAAGCCAATGGATATGCAATACGTTTAAGTTTTGTACCCTATTTAATTTTTGTCTTGAAGCTCTATGTATGGCACAGTGAAAAAAATATATTTGATATGGGATAAGAAAAGGAAAAAAATATTCATTAACAATAAATTAACTTAATAATTCAATTAATAAATATTTTACCTGTCATCATTGTTTTAGACCTGGTTATAACATCAGGTCTTTTCGCACCTTTGCCTTCAAGCATTCGAGATAAAACATGCCGCAATTGATCAGCCGCCGTTCCGCGTGATGTGATCGCTAAATCCTCTAACATTTCATGTGAATAACCCTGATAAAATATTAATTGTTATATCTGAATATCAAATAAATATATAAACCAGCACTTAAAACCAAGATAATTATTATTTACTAAGAGGCGTAGCGTACCTTGCTACGACTTACTACGCCGTACTATGATAGTACAATCATGTTCATTGATCATTCTACATAGTACTACGATTTACTACGTCGTACTATGATAGTACAATCATGTTCATTGATAATTTTACGTCGTACTACTATTTACTATGTCGTACTATGATAGTACAATCATGTTCATTAATCATTCTACATAGTACTACGATTTACTACGTCGTACTATGATAGTACAATCATGTTCATTGATAATTCTACATAGTACTACGACTTACTACGTCGTTCTATGATAGTACAATCATGTTCATTGATAATTCTACATAGTACTACGATTTACTACGTCGTACTATGATAGTACAATCATGTTCATTGATAATTCTACATAGTACTACGATTTACTACGTCGTACTATGATAGTACAAATCATGTTCATTGATAATTTTACGTCGTACTACTATTTACTATGTCGTACTATGATAGTACAATCATGTTCATTGATAATTCTACATAGTACTACGATTTACTACGTCGTACTATGATAGTACAATCATGTTCATTGATAATTCTACATAGTACTACGATTTACTACGTCGTACTATGATAGTACAATCATGTTCATTGATAATTTT